TGGTGGCAGATGATCTCACCCAGTGGTTTCATGTAGATGTTAAAAAGGAGCGGAGAGAGTATCAAACCCTGCAGTACCCCACAACAGAGAGGCCATGGGCCAGACCTCTCACTCTCAATCAACACCAGTTGGGATCGGCCCTGGAGGAAGGAAGTGAACCAGCACAAAACTGCTGCCAACTCCCAACTCCCTAAGTCGGCCCAAAAGGATACCATGGTCGATGGTATTGAAAGCCACTAACAGGTCAAGAAGGGCAAGGATGGATGCACTACCCCCATCCCACGCCCACCAGAGATCATCCATGAGCGCAACCAATGCTGATTCCCCAAAATTGGGTAAAAATGGTTTTTCTTTGGGTAACGATACACGAACCCTTTACCCATCACAACAGGGACATTTAAATTGACTTCAAGATTGCCACGTGTACTAAAATATATTTGAAAATCTCCCAAAGTATTTCTATTAAGATGAAAATTGATGAAATAACCAATGGTAATTTGTTGAAAAGACATAAAGATCATTCAGTGATACTGTTTTTATAATTCAGGTAGTCCTCGAGGTACGACCATTTGTTCAGCGACCATTCAAAGTTATGATGGTGCTGAAAGAAGGGACTTATGACTGGCCCTCGAAATTCTGGCCATTGTAGCACCCCTGCAATCACATGAACAAAATTTGGGTGCTTGGCAACCAGGTCGCACTTATGACAGCTGCAGCGTCCCACAGTCACATAATCACCATTTGAAACCTTCTTTGCTGGCTTTCCACAAACAACGTCAATGGGGAAGCCAGCAGGGGAGGTCGCAAGTTGCTGGAGTAAGTCTCCCACACTCACCTCCGCCTTTCTTCGCTCGCACACACCCACCAGCGTCCTCCTTCCTTCCTTCCTTTGCTCGCTCACTCACTCACACGCAGCGCACCCTCCTTCCCCCCTTTGCTTGCACGCACCCACCAGCATCCTCCTTCTAATAAGCAGTTTTCGGTAATGAAGGAAGAAGTTTGTGAAGCACAGTCTATTGAGGGAGCTAGCAGAGAAAATCACCAAACCATTCTCAATCATCTTGAAGCACTCCAGCTTTGGGAGAATCAGTGAAGCCAAATCATGTCAACTAGCCTTATCTCCTTTGATAGAGTTGGTCAAAGGGATGCTGTAGACATGGTGTGCCTGATCTGAGGAAAGATTTCAGTGAAGTATCTCCTTCATCAGATGGTACAGGATGGACTAGATGACTCTACTTTTTAATGGATCACAATTGGCGGAATCACCATACCAGAAGAGTGCTTATGAATGGCTGTTTCAGCCTGGAGGAAGTATTGAGCGGAGCATCCTATGGCTCTGTTCGGAGCCCTGTGGTGATCAACAGTCTATCAGAGACTTGGATGAGGGAGTTGAGGGGACCCTCAACAACTTTGCCGGTGACATAAACCGGAAAAGGAGGCTAATACTTTAAAGGATTCAGAAACATCTAGACAGCTTGAGCAGTGAGCTAAAACGAATAGGATGGAACTGAACAGGGAGAAACATGAAGTTCTGCGTCTGGGTTGGAAGAAGGAAAGAATGAAAAGAGCTGGCTTGTCAGCAGTACATGGGAAAGGGCCTGGGGGGTCTTTGCCAACCACACGTTAAACGAGTCAGCTGTGTGAAGGAGATTTCTAAACAGGCAGATGATACTGTAGGGTGTCTTCATAGGAGGAGAGAGTCCATGTCCCAAGAAGTCATCGTTCCACTCTGCTGGGTCCTGGTTCAAGCTCCATTTGGGGCACTGGATCCAGTTCTGAGCATCGTAACTCACAACGGATGGTGACAAATTGGACATATGTAAAAAAAGGGGAGGGACTTTGATAGCATGCTTGTGGTCACCATCTTGGCCTTTTCAATCCCCTCCCTGCAGACACCCTGATCTAGAACCTAAGACTCTGGTCCTCCCCCACCCCGCCCCAAATCGTAAGAAATCATTTTAGGGTTATTACATATGATATTACATTACAAATCAACATTTCTTGCTGATTGTTTTATCATGCTCTGGTCTGATTTAAAAACTAAGAGACGCTGAGTTCCAGTCCCTCTATCTCCCAGCCCACCTCACAGGGTTGTTGTGGAGCAAATAGGAGGAGGGAGCACCATTTATGCCACCTTGAGCTGTACAAAATAAAGACGAGATATAAACCTAATAAACACAGCATAAGTAAATAAGGACCGGTTTATGATCTGCGTACTATCCAAAGAATTGTGGCTGTCAGCAATCCAGAAAACAACCAAAATGAAAAAAGAAATACTATCAGGGTTTCAGTGGCCTCGAATCCTGATGCAACCATTTGAATAATTCTCTCCCTCCCCCATCCCCATATGCAATATATGCTTAGAGTGTAACCCTTGGCCACAAGTTGGCAGATTTGCCAGAGAACAACAGAAACGTTTTTGCTGAGGCTCATGGCTTAGGAAGAGCCCTGGCACGCTAGGATGCGCGTCCTTTCCCCGTTACCTGCCCGAAATGTAATGTGGCATTTGCAGCACAGCCCTGGGACCCCTCTCCTCTCCTCTCCTCTCCTCTCCTCTCCTCTCCAGCTTGCCAGCGTTGTGCAGTTTTGGTTAGACTTTGACAGGTGAATGTCTTTGAACTGTGTTTTTTGCTTGAGCTTTGGAGCACTATTAAAGATAAAACGGAGAAGCTCTTCTATTTTAATTTCGGAGCAGGAGCGTTTTTCCCTGGGAACCGTGCAACGGCAAAGAATGTTCCCAGGCTGCGCGGCCCTTGCTACCAATTATGGACAAGTAGAGCAGCCGTAGCTCTCCTGCTGTGGGACGCAAACGCTTCCAGGAGAGGAAGCCAAGGGTGGGCTGCTGCAAACTCAGAGCGGGCAGGTCTCTTTGACTGCCAGCCCAGCGTAAGCTGCGGGCTCTGGTTTGGTTCGGTTTTCCCCCAGGAGACCTGAACCTTCACGGCAAAACAGCTGGCGTACGGGCAGGGCTTTCCTCTTCTTGCATGTAAGAAAAAGGCTGGGAGGCCACGAGTGCGCCTGCAGTTTGCCTTCTCTGTCCCTGACACAGCTGCTCCCTCTGCTGCTCGGCTTAGCTTCACCTCCCAGCCGTCTTGCTTCTGAAACCCCGGAGCAGCTCTCACCTGTGGGAAATGTGCTTTACCCTGGCCAGGGTCTCGGCTTGGCCAAACTTGCTTGAGCTCAGAAGTTGCATAGGAGTAAGCCTGGTTAACACGTGGGTGGGAGGCTACCAGGGAACTGCAGGGCTGTAGCGGAAGTGTCTGAGGAAGGGGAGGGGGGGTGAGAGAAGTCAGCATGGCGGCCACAGCCTCCCACCTGAAGCCCTATGCGGTGATGACTGCCGCCCCTTCCCCGCTCCTTACTGGAGGCTAAACTGGGAAGACAAAAGCCATCCCTGAGGAAAAGAATGCCAAGCTAGTTCTGGACTGTTGCTAAGGCAACAACAAAGCAGAGGTGTCATAAAGATTCCACTTAATAGGCTTGGGGACCCTCTCAGAGGTCTCCATGATATCAGACCAACCTCGTCTGAACTCTCCCCTAACTTGCTGATTCTTCTGCATTTGCTCAGATCTAAAGCAGCCAAACATAATTTCTGGCACAGAATTCAAATGGCAGTGAGAGCTGCGTAGAATTTAGCATTCAAGCTGCTTCTTGCATGGTGGCAGGTTTCCTGCAAGTGGCCCATGTGATCAGCCAGGGCTAAGCTTGACTTGAACCCTTTTCCTTTAGTGCAGATGAAATTAGAAAAGCCTTGGGGGATGGGGGTGAAACTAAAATCTCTCTTGCACTATTGCAGGCTTCCCAAGCAGACGTCTGAAGAGAGGCTCTTGCAGGCGTTCCCCTTCCAGCACTCCTGTTCTCCAGTGGCCAAGGACCTTTGAGCATGGAGGATCTAGCTGGCCTTCAGGACTCTAGCTGTAGAGGTCATCTTCCTCACTGAATTCCGTTTTTGCATTTCTGAGCCTCCCAAAGGCAGGGCGCATCACCAGAGCATCAGTTCCCTGGTGGACTGGACGACCTTTAAGATTCCTGCCGACTCTATGATTCCACGGTTCTATGAATGACAGTGGCTGGAGCCCGGTGGGGCTCACAATGACTGGTTTTGCAGGTTCACACAGTTACAACTGCTTCTCTCATGTGGATCTGGAGCCGCTGCTGTTTACTGCAAGGTTCACTGCTATTTCTTCCCCTGCAAAAGGCCAGAGTGTGCAGATGAATTCGAAGCTCCACCAGAGAGTATGTGCGTTATTACAATGATTTCTATCCCCACTATTCAGGATAAATATCCTCCCAAAGAATCTTGAAAGCAATAAAATTGAATGTGTGTTTTTATACGTTGATTTCATATATATTTAAAGTAAGCCTTCTTCCCATAGGGCAGCTGGTAGGAAGGGCCAAAGCATGGCCCTTCCTGGGGCTGCTGTACTGTAATCGTGGGGTTCCTTTGTACAGGAGCTGTTGCTGTTTCTGTCCCCAGGGCGGGATGAGAATGACATCAGCAGTGGGGCTTCTGACCATGGATGGTGCCTTCCTTGCCAAAGTGTTATCATTCAGTCATCTTTATCATTCAATCATCAGATGGCATGAGGACTCCTGCCTTGGGCGGGGGTTGGACTAGAAGACCTCCGAGGTCCCTTCCAACTCTATGATTCTACGATTCTATCTGACTCAGTGGAGGAGAGAGCGGATTTAATCTGGACCTCAGACTGGATTCTGTTTCTTGCTGCTGCACTGGTTTTGGGCTTCTACACCCGTGCTAAGCCTAAAACCTTGAAAGTGGGTGGAGGGGCGGAAGGAAGATGGTGCTCTGCTCTATCTGGCTCTCGAACCAAAACGAACTGCTGAATAATTTCAGAAGCACCAAAAGAGCTTCAGTGAGGGCTCTGTAATCCCATCATCCGGGCCAAGTCAGTGTTTCTCAACTTAGCCTTTAAGATGTGGAGCCAGGGGAATTCTGGGAGTTGAAGTCCATGCATCTTAAAGTTGCTAAGGTTGAGAAACCCTGCCTTAGAGGATCCAGAGGACGCCAGACCTCCAAGTGGGGGCTGCTTCTGGCCTCCCTGGGCCTGCGGGCCTTCCCTCCCTCCCTCCCTCTCTCCCTCCCTAGAGCTGTGCCTCCTTTTCTGCTGCTGTTCAAAGATGCTGCTGGTGATTGCGGAAGAAGCGCCCTCGCCGCAGCGGATAAGGGCTGATGCAAACCCTCAACTGCCAGTTTTGAGCAAGGGAGTCCACTAATCGGGGCTGAACGCCCCGTGGTCAGTCACTTCCTTCTGGCGATGACTCTGCGCTCAGAGGCGGCAGTGTTGAAAGAGGGCCTGGGCTGGTGCAAGACGGCTGGCTGATAAGCAGCACATCTGCCATCTGTTCTGAACGCAGAGGGACCCCCAGGCCCTGGGTCCGGATTCTGCCTGCAACAGATAATCGGGGGCCTTTGGGTGGCTGGGTGGGGCTGATGAACTTCCTTGAGACCCCGTACATGGCTCCAGGAAGCCTCAAGCCCCCATCCTGGGGTGGCTTCATGTGTCCTGTTCAGAAAACACTTCTCCACTGGAGGAAATTGCGTGGAGTCCTCCACCTTTCTGAACAATGCCCTGTTCCCCAGCTCCCCAGCGCAGCCTCCCTCGATTGGCCCTTCCCAGGCAGGTGGGAGCCACAGCTGTCAGAACTGCTGGGGCCAATGAGGTGGCGATCGGTGCTGCCCAGGAATTCTCCGAGAACGCTGGGTTGAAACTGTCAGCGTGCAGATTCCAGGACTCAGCAGAAGTGCACATCTGGAGCAAATCTTACTGACTCACAAAGCTTGGGGAGATGTTAGATGGGTTCAGTATGGGACCACTGTGCAGTGGAGTGAGAATGGACCCTTTAGAAATGTTGTTAGCAATGGGGGGGTTGTGCAGTAAAGGCATCTGCAAAAATTGATATAGTTCTTGTTCTTTAAAGAAGGGACCTCCATGGCGAGGAGAGAAGAGAACTGTAGTGTCTACTCAGAGTGAATGGGTTTAGGAAGATGCCTGGGAGGAAAACTTCCTGAGCCACTTAGCAGTTTGCCAGCTTTCTCTGCTAGGGCAAGGATTTTGTGGGATCTGCAGAGACCCAGCATTTTCTGCTTCCTCCCTTAGCGAGGTCCATTGCTCTCTGCCTTGGCTCGATTCCCATTCGCTGTTCTTCCCATCCTCCACTCTCTGCGATTTGCATGCCTTTTGAGCAGAAAACCAAGTGGCCTTAGACTGGGTCTCATTTGCCATCCTCAGTGACAGGCCAATATACTTCTTTTTCTTATCAGCTCCTCTTCAGTTTGGCAAAAGAGAATTTGCTTTCCGCTGGGGAAATTGTGGCAGACGGGGTGGTGTGTGTCTGGGCGGTTTTGCCTCCGTTAGGAGTGGCAGTTCTGCTGAATGATCTGCCTCCCATTGGGCATCTTGCCTTGGCGGTGCAGCCTCTCCTGACCCCCCACCCCAACTCCTTCTACTAAGCCCCAGGATCCCACCTTGGGGAATCACCTCCCTGAGTCGGCTGTCTTCAGACGGAGCAAGGCGGTCAGCCACGGAGGTCAGAAAACCAGGCCATCAATAACCCCCTCTCATCACCCCTCACAATCAAGCTAAGCTAAGCGCAAAGACACCACCAAAAGAAATCTGAAGGAAAAATGTAAGCCCCCTGAAAATAAGGTAGATAAGAGTAAGCCCTGAAGGTGAAACGACTTTGGAGAATATCAAGGCAGTTTTTGATATAATATTTGTAAGAATTGTCTTGGGCTGATGCCATTCTATAAAAATGTGCCTCCCTCCACACAGGGGAAGTTTGTTTAGTTGCTTCTCCTTTTGAAGCACTGCAGCTTACACGGCCAGAGAAAGCTGTGCATTGTCTTGCATTTTCATGAATAATGCCCAGAAAACACACTGGGGGCTTTTGGAAAACCTGCAAACTGTAAAGGCTGCTTCTCCCTCTATTCACCTGAAATCAGGCAGACAGATAAGGACTGCAGTCCTCCTGATGCCATTCAATTATGTCCCAGAAAATGAGTGGTTGCCACTGGTTGTTTTTCAGTAATACCAATGGAGTCCATCTTTGGATTTTCATGCCCCCCGCCCCACATTCTTAGATCGTCTACAGTGAGGTATCTTTGATGGGGGCCCCCCAGGAGCAAACTGGACATCTATAATTTTATTTTTTCTATAGCAGGGCCCATATTGTGGAACAAGCTTTCACTGATGCCAGCACTCTTATTACAGATTCTTTTGGCGGGGGGAGGGCTCAAAACATATTTGCTCATCCAAGCCTTTAAATAGTTCGGTGTCATTGTTTGAAGATGTATTATCTGAGTAAACTGTTAACAACAGCATCCACAGGGAGGTTAAAAAGAAAGCCAAGATGCCAGCTGCAATTGTTTTAATTGTATTCCCTTAAGCTAAGCCACTCTGAGCTGTTAAGAGTTAGGAAAAGATGCCAATATTTTATTCTTTTTTAAATGAAATAATATTAAAATAAAAACACAGATGAACAAACTGAGCTGAATCAGTTTGTGTTCCAAACTGGGACCCTCAATGAATCTTGTGATCAATAACCACTGAAATTAAAGTCTCTCCCTGCTGATGTTGGGGCTATCTCACTGGAGATGGGAGGCTAAAATGTCATTTGCCCATCAACCTTTAATACGTGAATTCTCTTGAAAACAAATCTCAAATTCGTCGCGAAAAGATAAAGGATCCGTATCTTCCACACATGGAAATTATGTGAAGCTTTAGAAATATATCTTGCTCTGAAACTTAATTAAAAATTCGCCAGGGCCATAATACCGTAATGCCACAAGAGCTGTTTCAGACAACCATTTCCAGCACAAATGCCTTTCAAAAAAAATTGTACTCGTGTCCTATAACGAGGAACTCTTGTCCAGAACTCTACAACCTCTTTGCAAATTCACACCATTGGTGTGCAATTGCATAACGTCGAGAGTGGGCAAGGCCACACACTTTTGTTCATAATGCATGTTACAAGAAGCGAGTTAGACAGGAGGTCTGCCACCTTGGTTAAGGGAGAACCAAATACAAAAGCAATTTTAGCTAGCCCCCCCCCCCACACACACAATGGGGCTGTAGTAGTTTAGAAAGAAGTACTGAACATTCCCCCTGCCCCACCAATGCTTCAGGTAAACTCTCA